TGGTAGTTATATGTGCCCATGCCCGACTACAATGTAAGACTGGCAGCTTCTGGCAGCCATGGGCTGTAATTCACTTTTCTTAGTGTATACGCACCACAGTGCCCTGCTTCTGAGAAGAGCTGAGTAAACATTAACTGAATGATTGAATGCACAAACAAAGGCGTTTACCTCTCAACTAAGTGAGTAGCCCTCCTGTAATGGAGCTAATGTTCTCTCTCTTATCTTTCAGATTCTCCAATGTTTCAAGGAGCATATATTTTCCTTTTACTGAGGAAAGTGCATTTATTTTGTGTACCCAATTTTGATAGAACTTATCCATGGGATGGAGCCCTGGTGGTGCAGTGGTTAAGAGCTTGGCTGCTAACCAAAAACGTTGGCAGTATGAATCCACCAGCTGCTCCCTGGAAACCCTACTGAACAGATCTACTCTGTCCTGTAGGGTCGCTATGAGTCGGAATTGATTCGATAGCAACGGTTTTTTCTTTTTTTGTAAGCACGGGACAGCTAATGTAAATTTTCATCATATATTGCTAATTTCTTATTTTTGAAAAATATGTTTGACACACCAATGAAAAAAGAGAAGACAGCTAGAGTATAGTAGGTCCTCAAGAAATATCTTCAGTAAATGAAAGAATGAATGAATTCTAGACAATAGAAAATTGAATCAAAATACAAACAGAAGAGGAGTAGAAAAAGGACGGATGCACAGGAAATTTGGAAAAGAAGTAGAGAGGGAGGGAAGACAGAGAGAGAAAGGAGACCTAAGCCTAATTAAATTCTACATTCCACTTTTACTACAAACATGAATTTGATAACAAGTAGAGAGGCAGCTGAGTGAGAAGAGAATAGACTTTGAAGATAGACAGACATGGATTCTAACATTAACTTATCCACTGTGATCTTGGGCAAGTGACTCAATCGCTCTGAGCTTCACTGTTTTTGTTTTAACTTTATTTTGCAGTAAGTTTAGATTTACAGAAAACTTGCAAAAATAGTACAGAGAGTTCCAATATACCCTTAACTCATCTTGCATCACCATTGTACAATGGTCAAAATGAGGAAGCTAACATTAATACAATAATACCAACTAAACTACATGCCTTATTAGAATGTCACTGGTTTCCCCACTAATGTCCCCATTCCTAGTCCAGGATCCATTAGGCTCCCACACTGCATTTAGTTGTCTCGTCTTCTTAAACTCCTCTAGTCTTTGACAGTTTCTCAGTCTTTCCTTGCCTTTCATGACCTGGACACTTTTGAAGGGTAGAATGTCTCTCAGTTAGGGGTTGTCTGATGGTTTCTCGTGATTAGATTTAGGTGATGCATCTTTGGCAAGAACACCATAGAAATGATGTCATGTCCTTCTCAGTGCATAATGTCAGGAGGTACATGTCACTATGTCTTATTACTGGTGACGTGAACTGTGACCACTTGGTTAAGGCAGTGTACTCTCTGTAATTAAGAAATAATCTTGTAGACAGATACTTTGAGACTATGCAAATAAATCTTGTTTCGCATCATACTTTGGCCCAATAATATTAGTATTCGTTTGTGGTTTTTGCTTGCAACAATTAGTGCTGTGGGTGTTCAAAAAGTGATTTTCTATTTCCTCATTCCTTCTACATTTATCAATGAATAAATTCCAATTAAAATTTTTCTTAAGAGTTGTATTTTCTCCCCATTTATTTATTCAATCATTTATGTCAACATGGACTCATGAATATTTATTCTAAGGGTCATGATCCAATACTGTGATTATTTATTTTGTTGTCTAAGCTTCATTTTTTTCACTTTTGAGACAAGGATAATGACTACTGCCTCACACAACTGTCATAGGATTAAATGGGATTAAAAATGTGAAAATATCCAGTCCAGAGCACCTAGTAAATAAAATGTCAATGTCTTTCCTACCTTTTCCTCACAAAAAGTAAAGCCATGCTAATTTGGAAGCAAGGTCATTTTAAGCAGGTGAAAAATCTGAATTTAATAATTCTTTTAATATAATGCAGCTTGTTTACCCTGAGGTATATAATCCAAACAAAAACCCACTGCGGATGAGTCGATTCCAACTCATAGTGACCCTACAGGACAGAGTAGCATTGCCCCATAGGGTTTCCGAGGCTGTAAACCTTTACAGAAGCAGACCGCTACATCTTTCTCCAATGGAGTGGCTGGTAGGTTCGAACAGCTGGCTTTTGGTTGGCAGCCGAGCGCTTTAACCACTGCACCAGTGCTCCTTAAGGTATATAAAGCAACTAGAATTTAGCCATCTCATTGTTGCCTACTGAAGATCATTTGGGATCTGCCTTTAATGACTATATAGACTGATTTTTAATCGGTATATCCATTATTTGTATGAAAATAGATGCTTGAGAATACTTGGAAACAGACTGTTCTCTTAAGTAGTTGAAGTGTTTTCCCAGAAATCTTGTTTATGTTCTGAAGTTGCTTAGCTTAACTATTTTCAGAGATAGTCCAAAGCATGCCTCAACCCAGCTGCAGTTCATGACATCACTAACTCTGAATTAGTGAAACCACTGATTCATATTTAATTCCCAAGCTTATGGCAGTGAGTGGAAGAAACCCAAGTTTTGTTTCTCTGAAATTAATTTAAAATTAGATTTTAAAGGTCCAGGAAAATCACTTTTAAGTTCAGGTGGGATTTTAGAAAAAAGAAAAAAAAGACAGGAATAGAGTCCTAAGAATTTGAAAGTGAGTAGCCTTAGAAGTTTAAAATAATTCATAAAAACAGTAAAGTCCACTAATAAAATCACTCAATTTACTGGAATGTTCAGTTTCCACTCCATTTTTTATCAGTAAGGAAAATCAAGAACATTAGGATATTTATTTTAAAAAAGCAACTTGGAGGGCAGCTTGGTTCTCAGGCTCTCATGTGGACTCCCAGAGATTCTGTTTCACTCAGTTTGGGGTGGGACTAGGAATCTGCAGTTTAAGCAGGCATCACTCCCAACACGGTACCTGGGTGGTGTAAACAGTTAAGCACTCGGCTACTAACTGAAAGGTTAGTGGTTCAAATCTACCCAGAGGCACCTTGGAAGAAAGGCCTGGTAATCTACTTGTGAAAAATCAGCCACTGAAAACCCTTTGGAGTGCAGTTCTACTCTGACACACATGTGGTTGCCATGAGTTGGAATTGACTCAACAGCAACTGGTATATGGTACTCCAAACACAAGCCTGAGGTGAGAGCCACGACAGCATGGTGGTTCAAAGCCCAGGTTCTGGGGTCCAACTACATGTGTTTGAATCTCAGTATTACCACCGACCACCTGTGTAACCTAACCTTGGGCATATGACTTCATCTCACTGTGTCTCAGTATCCTCATTGGTAAAATGGAGCTTATGACAGGGTTGCTGTGAGGAGCATACAAGCAGTACACATAAAACCAACAGCATGACAGAGCTAGATGGATATCAGCTATTCCTGTGGGTAAGGGATCTCTTTTTGAGGAATGGTGTTCAGGGTATGTCTGGGTACAGAACTGTTTGAGCTCAGCCCCTAACACTCTCTGTGTTCACTGGGCCTTATCATGGTCACTGGTCATGATATCATCAAGGTCATGATTGGCAGGCCAAGGAGGCTATAAGTGAGCTTCTATAGTTAGAAAGAGCATCCTCTTAGCATTTAGCTAGAGTTTTCTAAATGACCAAAATAGGAAACAATTGCATTTGTGGAGTTAAACCAAACAACAAACAAAAAATATACAGATTGAAATTGTGTGTTTTAATATTCAAGGACTCATGGATTGCCAGAAGAATGAATAAGTCTGTCTTGGAAGAAGTACAGCCAGTGTGCTCCTTGGAAGCAAAAATAGAGACTTTATCTCATATACTTTGGACATGTTATCAGGAGGGACCAGTCCCTGGAGAAGGACATCATGCTTGGTTAAGATAGAGGGTCAGCAAAAAAGAAGAAGACCCTCAATGAGATGGATTGACACAGTGGCTGCAACAACGGACTCAAACAGAGCAACAACTGTGAGGATCACACAGGACCAGGCAGTGTTTCATTCTGCTGTACATGGGGTCGCTATGAGTCAGAACTGACTCCACGGCACTCAACAACAACAATATTCAAGGCAAAAGAAATTAAATCTAAAATAAATAAAATGTAGCTTACAAAACTCTGGGTGTGGGGTTATATCATGGGGGAGAAAGTGCTCTTTAATCCCAAGAGTGTAGCAATCTCTGACTACCGTACTGCACAAAAACCTACCTGTCCCCCTGCCCCTCTTACTCTAGCCTCACAGGGACATGCAGCCATTTGCTCTTTACTTTCCAGTGAGTCCCTAGACCCCTTGCAGTGCCTCTCTCTTAACTGTTCCCTGATTCCAGTCAGGCCTGCCCTCTTTAGATTAGAACTGGCTTCTGGTATGGTCGCAGGCTTTGGAGTGACTTCTCTAGGGTTGAGAATCTTGATAGGATGCAGAAAGCAAGACTGGAGTGGTTCAGTGTCCCTCAAGCCCACAATTCTTCCCCACTCTCCTAACACAGGTGTATGGCTTCCTGAGTTTCTACTGAGGCAATCTGATGGTAGAAAAGTAGGTGGGCTAGATGGGTGTGGCCAAGGATTATGCTTTCAAAACTCAAAATTGAGACATCTGGTCTTAAAGGCACCTGTGGGAACAAGGGGTAGAATATTTGAAATTGGGTCCAGACAGAATATTTTGGCAAGGGTAGAAAGAGGGACTGGGTATTGAAAATCTGCTTATCCAAAGGGAGAAAGATTGATGGACTTGGTAATGATATGGGATGGAGATAAGATCAATTAGGCTGAAGGGTAGGTGGCAAAGAAGTGAGAGGGAGGAAGACAATGTGCTGTGTCTACCTCATTGCCTGGAAAGAAAAACAACCATCATGGAAGCAGCAAGACAGAGAGGTAGATGAGATATCAGTAACAGGCAACCCTATAAGGAAAACCATGCTTAAAAATCATTTATCGGCAACTCAATTACAAAAATATCCCAAAGTTCTTTCTTACCTCATTAAATCTCATCACAAGATCCTCAAGGGCATTGTGCTCTCCATTCTGGGAGGTAAGAATTGATGCTGAGATGGATGCTTTGAGGCAGGGCAGGGACCTCTGGCATTCAGAAGTGCCCAAGTCCCGGGTTAAGAAGCAAAGGTAGTCAACTGGCAAGACCCTTCGGTAAATATTCTGCTCCTGCTCCATCAGGATGCTGGCAACTTCCTCTGGGAACTGGATGAGGGGTTGCAGATCAATCAGTTCCTTGCTGATCCCAGCTGTACTTGAAGGGAGGGCATTGGAATTAGCCATGGAGATGCCTGGTTGGCGCTCTGAAATAAAGTTAACAAAAGTCATGGTTACACAAAGGTTGGTCTCCTCTACAACAGATATTTGAGAGCCATTCAAAATCATACAGGTTTCTTTACCCAAGTCTCTGCCCGATGGACAATGTATGTTGTCTTTCTTGTTATGAAGACCTTTCTGATACCTGTCCTGCACTCCTCCCACTACTAGAAAACTAGTTGCCATTGAGTTGATTCTGACTCATGGAGACCCCATGTGTGTCAGAATAGAACTGTGCTCTGTAGGGTTTTCAAAGGCTGAGTTTTTGGAAGTAGATCACCAGACTTTTCTTCCGAGGTGCCTCTGGGTAGACTCAAACCTCCAACCTTTTGGTTAGCAGCCGAGCTTGTTAAGCTTTTGCACCACCTAAGGACTTTTCCAACCCTCAGGGTCTTAGTTTTCCATTTTCAGAAGCAGCATTGATAAGCACACTATTCCCCAACCAGTTCACTATGATACTTGGCAGAGTTGCAGAGAAAGAAAATGTGCCACTGCTTCCTCATCTTCCTTTGCTAACCATCAATGAAGAGAAATGCGGAGAGGTATTGAGGGTGGGTGTTATGGATTGAATTGTGTCCCCCAAAAAACATCTCTTGTAAATCCTAACTTCTATGCCTCTGGTTATAATCCCATGTAGGAATAGGTTGTCTTTGTTATGTTAATGAGGCAGGATTAGTGTAGGGTATGTCTTGAGTCACTTTCTTACAAAATAAATAATAAAATAAGTTGATTCCGACTCATAACGACCCTATAGGACAGAGTAGAAGTGCCCCACAGAGTTTCCAAGGAGCACCTGGTGGATGTGAACTGCTGACCTTTTGGTTAGCAGATGTAGCTCTTAACCACTATGCCACCAGGGTTCAAAATATAAAAGGAGCAGATTAAGCAAGCAGAGATGGAGGAAGACAGATGCCAAGCCACATGGAGATCTCCAAGGAACCAAGAAACAGAAGCTGAAGAGACAAGGAACTGCCCACAGGGCCAACAGAGAGAGATAGCCTTCCCCTAGAGTTGGTGCCCTGAATTTGCACTTGTAGCCTCCTAAACTGTGAGAAAATAAATTTGTTTGTTAAAGCCATCCACTTGCGGTATTTCTGTTATAGCACCAGTAGATAACTAAGACAGTGGGTGTGGGCATAGTCAATAGAAATGGAAGAGGGAAGAAGGCTGTGGGGGTGGGGAGGTACCTACATATATGTGCATATGGCAACTAAGCATGTAGAAGACCTGGATATCTATCATGCGGTAGCCAAAGTTATGTTCCTAAAACAATAGATAATCCCAATCTTTAAAAAAACCTGCAAGGGTTCCCTAGTACTCAGAAAATAAAATATATCTAACTTCTCATTCGATGCCGTCTGTCATCTGGTCCCAAAGTGTCTTTCAAGCCCATATCCCACTACACATTTCAATCTATAAAAAATCACAAGAGATTATTTTCTTTTAACTCAAAACATTACCTGTCAATACAGTCCCAGGGCTTTGCTCCTGCTGTTCTTGGTTGGGAATACCTCTCCCCTTATTTTGCTCCAAATCCTTATCTTGCTCCAATGCTGTCTCCTCCATATTGCCTTCTCTAATGCCTTACTTTGGAATTAATAGCTCCTTTCTCTAGAGCTCAGACTGCTAACCAAAAGGTCCGTAGTTCAAATCTACCAGCTGCTCCTGGGAAACCCTATGGGGTAGTTCCACTCTGTCCTATAGGGTCACTATGAGTCGGAATCGACTCGATGGCAATAGGTTTAACAGGTTTGGTTCTCTGAACTTGTAGTGTTGTGGAGGGAAATAAGAACATATTTTAATCTGTCTTGTATTTGAAAGTATTTGTTTATTTGTCTGTCTCCTCCTTTAGAGCAGGGCAGGGGCTGAGTCCCACTCATCTTTGTAATCTTCTTAGTGAATAGTGCCTTGCAAAGAGGAAACCATTTGAATGTACTTTTCAAACTAAACTGGATTGAAAGAGGGAGAGAAGAAAGAAATATGGACCTGGCTTTGGAAGAATTGAGACTAAGGTGCCACTATTGTATGGCTAGAGCCCTGGTGGCACAGTGGTTAAGAACTCGGCTGCTAACCAAAAAGGTCGGCACTTTGAATCCACCAGCTGCTCTTTGAAAACCCTATGGGGCAGTTCTACTCTGTCCTATAGGGTCACTATGAGTCAGAATGGACTCGATGGCAATGGGGTTTGGGGACTGCATGGCTTTCCTTCTCCTCAGCAGCAAGGTTGGGAACCTTCCTGTGGTCTTCTGGAGCTACTGTTGAGCCATTTAACAGTGATTAGCTTTCAACAGCTTTCCCTCTGAGTCTTCCAACATCCCACTGTTTCTCGGACAGCACTCACCAAAATCCCTAACTCACTGCTGTCAAGTTGATTCCGACTTCTAGCGACCCTGTAGGACAGAGTAGAACTGTCCCATAGGGTTTCCAAGGCTGTAAATATTTATGGAAACAGATTGCCACATCTTTCCCCCATGAAGCCACTGGTAGGTTTGAACCACTGACCTTTTGGTTAGCAGCCAAGCGCTTAACCACTTTGCCACCAGGGCTCCTCTTCCCAAATGCCTAACTACTTGAAAATAGCCCAACACACATAAGTAGTGTCTACTTTTCATATATTCAAGATTTGGATTTAATCTCCATTTCTTCCCCAGCTTAGCTTGGAACTTGATTCCTAGCAAAGTCATTTAATGCACTAAAGGAATGAGGTGTCATATAAACTTTCATTGGGATTCCATTCACATGATTTTGTTAAATAATAGTGTGGGTCAGCTTCACAGACTCCTTGACCAGTCATTACATTAATATAATTTTATTTCCGTAGCTTAAGTCAATCTAGCTTTAATGCATTATATCTATTTACCAAACACATATTAATAATCTCTCGGGAAGCCAATTATCTGATAAAATGATTACTGCTTTTAGACCACTGGAAAAGTCCCCCTGGTTGTGGTTACTATTAGGCACATTGTTTAACTTAAAAAACTAAATCAAGATTGGCTTAATAAAAATTATGATAGTGAACATATATACTTATTATGTGCCAGTTACTGTTCTTAGTGCTTGATAAGTATTATCTCATTTAGTTCTCCCAATCCCCCTATAAAGGTAAGTACTCGTATAATTCCCATTTTACAGATAAAGTGAGGCTAGAGCTGAAGGTCACACCTATAGGAGGCAAGGTCTGCTCTCTAAACAGCCTCCAAAGGGTGTTGGTTCCCATCTCTGATTGAAAAGGATGACAGAATCAACCCAATTTTTAGGAAAGCAAAATAATAATCAAATCAACAATAAAAATCAGGGCCAGACAGGAATCTTTAAAGGTATAGAAAGTGACAACAGGGACATAATTCAGTTTTGTGCATCCTAGGAAAATCTCATTTGGGTTGTGGGGAGAATCTAGGCAATCACACTGCCTTGAAGGGGGGAATCCCAGGCCAAGTCTTCCCTTGAGGGATGCTGCTGTAAGGGCTGGAGCAGTGCCCCTGGGCCTCCGGCCAAGCTCACAGATCCCTCCTCTCCTTCCTTCCTACCTGTGACCACTAGTCCCTGACCTTGTCTATTAGCTGTCATTCCCAGGGACTGTCCACAAATTGCACGGCCCAGAAATACCCAGACAGGGCCCTGGGATAAGCCACTAAACTTGGTGAGCATTTTTCCTTGATAATTGTTCACCCACGGCTCCAGTATACAGTGCCTTTGGGGAGCTGCCCCTATACCCCTACCATGCTGCCCCCTCCCTCCAGGTTAGCACTTGTTCATTAAAGCTTGTTCATATCCCGAGCCCACTGAAGAGCTGCAGGCTTGGGCTTGAGCCTAGCAAAACCTGCCACTTCCATTCATTCCTTTTTTTGGTCCCTATCAAAACTAAAAACATTAGGTAATTTTTGCTTTGCCTCCTCTGAAATGCTGCGGTTGTTGTTGTTGAGTGCTGTCGAGTTGATGTGACATGTGACAGAGTAGAACTGCCCTGTAGGATTTTCTAGGATGTAATCTTTATGGGAGGCCCTGGTGGTGCAGTGTTTAAGAGCCTGGCTGCTAACCAAAAGGCTGGCAGTTCAAATCCACCAGCCGTTCTTTGGAAACCCTGTGAGGCAGTTCTACTCTGTTCTATAGGGTCGCTACGAGGCAGAATTGATTCCATGGCAAAGGGTTTGATTCTGTTTTTATTTTTTTTTTGGGGGGGGGAATAATCTTTACAGGAGCAGGTGGCCAGGTCTTTCTCCTGCAGAGCCGCTGAGTGGGTTCCAGCTGAGTGGGTTCCAACTGCCAACCTTTTTGTTAGCAGCCAAGTGTTTAATTGTTGCACCACAAAATCATCTCACACAATCTCCTTCGAGGGAGCCTTGATGGGTAGGCAGTGCTAATCCTATGTTTAATAAAGCTTGAGTCAAGTTGCTAAGTGTCTTGCTCAGGAATACAGCTTGTGAGTGGTCAGCCGTGGAATTGGCAAAAGCTGGGAGAGAACCTGCAGACTCTGGCTCCTGGCCCAGTACTCTTTGTATTACCCCAAGCTGAGCCTGAGTTATCCTGGGTGTGCTCAGTGTCCAGGGGCCCGCCTGTTATTAGCTGCCAAAATATGTGAGTGGTTTAAGAAACAGTAAGTAGGAACTCATTCATTCACTTACTGAGTACCTACTATGTGCTAGGCTTTGTTTCAGGTTACACTGACGTTGGGATTTAGTGAACAAGAAAAGATCCCTGTTCTTATAGAACATTCTAAAAGAGGAGACAGATAAATAATAAAACAAATGAGTAATGATACATGTTAGAAAGTGATAAATGCCATGGTGAAAATTAAAAGAGCAGTTGCAAGGGAGCCAGAATGTAGGTGGGGGTATTACCTAGTATATATGAACTAGAATGTTAGCGATTTCCTCAAGCTTTTCTGCAAAGCATTCAAAACTTTACCATCCAGTGGTTGAACAACATGATGAACATATTTAGTGTCACTGAACTGTACATGTGAAAAATACTGAAATGGCAAATG